CGGGTCTTGAACCCGCGGGCTCAGGCAATCCACTCACCTCAGCCTCCCAAGGTGCGGGATTACAGGCTGAGCCACTGAGCCTGGCTATCCTCCTGACCTCTTTATGCTGCTGCTTCTGCCTCTGGCCTATATGTGTAGGTGGTGCATTCATTCACTTTTTCATCCGTTAAGCACATAGCCATTGATTATCTCTGTGTAAAAGGCACTGCACACCTGCAGGAATACTAAGGTGACTGGGACCTTCTCGGCCCTGGCCCTCACAAAGCCTCAGGTCTCAGATATCAAGGAATCTCTCCAGTTATTTCTGTCTGGTCACCTGATCAGTGCTCGGAGGGTATAGAGGGGACCTGAGCTATCTGGGAGGTAACCAAGGAGGGCTTCCAGGAGGAGGCGATGTCTGAGTACAGCAGTGTTGCAGCCAGCAGACCTGGGTCCCCATCCTACCTACCTCTGACAGGCTGTGTGAGGGAATCTCGAAGTATCCCCACTTCCCATTGAACCTCAGTTCCCATACCTGTCTGACATGGCAACAATCTCAGCACAGCCTGGAACCCACCAGCATGTAGGTAGGCAGAGGACTGCTGGAGGGGAAGACTCCCATCTCACACATGCTGATTTAATTGGCTGAAGTGGCTTCCAGGGCAGGAGTGGGCACAGCTAACCTCAGCAAAGAACACGTGGGAGTATGGCCTTGAGCCTCTCACCACCTGGGTTCAAATCTTACCAGCTGGGAGGTCTGTGGCAAGCAGCTTCACAGCTCTGGGGCCTCAGTTTCCTTACCTGTGGAATGGGATGCAATAGCGCCTACCGCTTTGGGACTATAAGGGTCAAAAAGAGTAAAACATGCCAGGCTCAGTAGCTCAAGCCTGTAATCCCAGCACTTTGGGAGGCTAAGGTGAGAGGGCTGCCTGAGCCTGTGGGTTCGAGACCAGCCTGGGCAACTTGGCAAGATCTTGCTTCTACAATAAACACAAAATCAGCTGGGCATGGTAGCGCACGCCTGTAGTTCTGGCTACTTGGAAGGCTGAAGTGGAAGGATCACTGGAGCCCAGCAGGTCGAGGCTGTGGTAGCCAGGAGCATGCCACTGCACTCCAGCCTGGGCGACAGAGTGAGACTCCAACTCAAAAAAAAAAAAGGTAAGACACACAGAACTCTCAGAACAAGGCATGGTACACCGTGATGCTCAGTGAGTGCTGTCCTCTCTCAGAGCAGCTTCTGTCGCCTGCAGGAGATCCCAGGGGGGTTAAGGGGGTGGTTCTGACACTGCGTTGGTCTGAGACCCACACTGGCAGCTCGATTTCTACAATTCCAATTGGGGCCCCTGAGATTGGATCACTGCCCATTCTAGACTGTAGGTGTCAGGTGGTAACCATGGTAACACAGAGTTAGAAACTGTTACCATTTATTGATTGAAGGAATTTTTTTTTTTGAGTCAGAGTTTCACTCTGTCGCCCAGGCTGGAGTGCAGTTGCATGCTCACGGCTACCCCAGCCTCTACCTGCTGGGCTCTGGCGATCCTTCCGTCTCAGCCTTCCAAGTAGCCAGAACCACAGGCACACACTACCATGCCCAGCTAATTTTTTATTTATTGTAGAGGCGAGGTCTTGCCAAGTTGCTCGGTCTGGTCTCAAACCCATGGACTCAGGCAAACCACTCACTTCAGCCTCCAGAAGTTATGGGATTACAGGCTGAGCCACTGAGCATGGCCTGGAGGAATATTTTTTAAAACTAAAGGATTTAGTTAGCTGGGCACAGTGACTCACACCTGTAATCTCAGCACTTTGGGAGGCTGAGGCGGGAGGATCCCTTGAACGAGGCATTCAAGACCAGTCTGGTAGTGAATCAAAAAGTTAGGCTGGGCTTGGTGGCTCTGCCTGTAATCCCAGCACTTGAGGAGGCCAAGACGAGTGGATTGCCTGAGCCAGCTGGCTTGAGACCAGCCTGGGCAATTTAGCAAGACCTCGTCTCTACAATTACTCAAAATTAGCCAGCTGTGATAGTGCGTGCCTACAGTTCCAGCTACTTGGAAGACTGAGGCAGAAGGATCGCTGGAGCCCAGCAGTTGGATGCTGAGGTGGCGGTGAGTGTGCCACGGCACTTCAGCCAGGACGACGGAGTGAGACTCTGCCTCAAAAAAAAAAAAATTTTCACGACCCGCCTGGGCAACTTGGCGAGACCTAATCTCTACAATAAATCAAAAAATCAGCCGGGCGTGGTAGCGCATGCCTGTAATTCCGGCTACTCGGAAGGCTGAGGCGGAAGGATCGTGGAGCCCAGCAGGTCGAGGCTGTGGTGGCCGGGAGCGGCCACTGCCCTCCAGTCTGGGCGACAGAGTGAGACTCCAACGCAAAAAAAAAAAAAAATTAGCCAGGTGTGGTGGTGTGCTCCTGTAGTCCCAGTTACTTTAGAGGCTGAGGCAAGAGGACCACCTGAACCCAGGAGATCGAGGCTGCAACGTGCTGTGATCTTGTCACTGCATTCCAGCCTGGGTGACAGAATGAGACTCTGAAAAAAATAAAAAAGGACTCACATGCAATAAAAACTCAGTGATGCAGGTCGGGGTAAACTGAGAGCCTGCAAATGAGGCCACAGAGGCCCGGGGAGGTGGAGTGAGGGGTCCGGGTCACACAGCTCACACAGAACTGTCAGGTGCACCTGCTGTCCTGCTTGCTTACTCCTCCCGGCCTGCAGCCCTGTTCCGGCTTTCCAGCTCCTTGTGCTCCTCCCAGGCCGTAGGGGAGTTGGGGACGAGGGTCCCTGTGTGGAGGGCGGTCTCTGTCTCTCTCCTGCCACATCTCACCCCAGGGTGAGAGCTGGGGAAGTGTCGGCTGGGCATGAACTCTCTCACCGGCAGGGCCTGGAGCTGTGTCGCGCGGTGGCCGTGCATGTGGAGAACCTGCTTAGTGCCCGGGAGAAGCGACTCACGCTGCCACCCAGCGAGATCACCCTGCTGTGACCCAGCCCCGTCCTTCAGCTGCCTTCTGCCCGAAGACTCGCTGTGTGGCCTCGGGATCACTGAACCTCTCTGGGCTGACGACCCATGTGAGGGGCCAGGACCTTGGGGAAGATGAAGAGGAGGCGGAGGAACCACCCAAGTCCCTGAGAACCCAGGAAGACTGATTCAGAGTGGGGCTGGAATAGCAGCCTGCAGACTCGGGTGAGATAGCAGGAGAAACTTTCAAAGGCTGGCCCGTACTGCAGTAGAGCAAAAGCAGGGCCACAGGACCTGTGGCTCTGCACCCACTGCAGGCCCCCCGACTCCCACCCGTGGCACTGACGCCCCGCACCAGTCGCTTCTGAGCTGGACTCTGCCTTTGGTTTCCTCAGGGCCTGCCATTCTGAATCTGCTCCAGCTCCAAACCCAGTCCCCACACATCCTCCTCGGCGCCCCTCCTGGTGCTTCCTGTCAGCCTGCATTTGTGGCCCTTGGATATTTCTATGTAAATAAAAGGCGTGCCTAGCAGCCTGTCCTCCTGGAGCTGCCGAGTGGCTGGGAAACACGCCTCTGGGAGGGGGCAGGGGCTGGAGGCACAGTTGTGCCCGACTCTGCCTACGAGCAGAGCTTCCAGCAGAGACTCTTCTCTCCCTGAAGACCCCTAATCTCTTATTCCTTGGGTAGCCCCCGCCCAGGTCCCTATCACTTGATAGGCCACGCAGTGTTTGAGAGTGGTATGGTGGTGCGAGGGAGAATTTTGGGGAAGGGCTTCCCAAAGAATGGGACATTAGTGTTGGATCTTGAAGGATGACTAAGAGTTTGATAAGAATAGATGGAAAGAGCCGGGCTCAGTGGCTCAGCCTGTAATCCCGCGCCTTTGGGAGGCTGAGGTGAGTGGATTGCCTGAGCCCGCGGGTTCGAGACCCACCTGGGCAGCGAGACCTCATCTCTACAATAAATCAAAAAATCAGCCGGGCGTGGTAGCGCGTACCTGTAGTTCCAGCTACTTGGAATGCTGAGGCGGAAGGATCGCCGGAGCCCAGCAGGTCGAGGCTGCGGTGGCCGGGAGCGGCCACTGCACTCCAGTCTGGGTGACAGAGTGAGACTCCAACTCAAAAAAAAAAAAGAATAGATGGAAAGGAGGGAGATAAACATTCCAAACTGAGGAAATCTTGTTTGTTCCTTGCTGTATCCCCCAGAGCCTAGGATGATCCCTAACACAGAGTCAGCACTTAAAAAATACTTGTCACATCAATGAAAGAATAAATGAATGGATGAAAAGTGCTGGTGCTTTCGTGACCTGCCTGGGCAACTTGGCGAGACCTCATCTCTACAATAAATCAAAAAAATTAGCTGGACGTGTAGCATGCACCTGCAGTTCCAGCTACTCAGAAGGCTGAGGCGGAAGGATCGCCAGAGCCCAGCAGGTGGAGGCTGCGATGACCGGGAGCGGTCACTGCACTCCAGTCTGGGCGACAGAGTGAGACTCCAACTCAAAAAAAAAAAAAAGAAAATAAAAGGAAAGTGCTGGTGCTTTGGCAAGCTTGTGGGGGACAGGAACACTTGGCTTGGGAATGGGAGACTGGATAGGTAAGTGGGGGCATAACCGTGGAATCCGCGGCATCAGAGGAAGGATCTATTTACTCAGCCATTCAATAGGTGTTAAATACCTACTGTGTACCAGGCAAACGCCAGCACTGGCAGTTCCTGACAATCATAACTACAAACCAGGATGAGACTTGTGAGTGGGAGGAGCCAGGTAGTGAGGAGGAAGCAGCACATGCAGGGTCCGGGAAGTAGACACCACCAGTGGCAGGGTCTGAGACAGAACAGGCCGGCAAGGATAGTTTGGATAGGGCTTTTCCCGCTATGCTAAGGATTTAGGGTTTCAGCCCAAGAGCCCCAGGAGCCCTGGAAGGCTTTCTGGTGGGGGTGGTGCAGCCTGCACAGATTGTACTTTGAAAACGCCCTTTTGGCTGCTTAGCAGAGAGTGAATGCGGGAGGCAAGGAGGCCAGAAGGGAGGCTGCTGCAGTGTTACCTGGGAAGCTCTGTGGCATGGATTCTGGTGGTGGTGCCAGGGATGGGAGAAGCTGATCACTTGGGAGAGATGTGGGGGGTCTAGCTGGCAGGACTAGGGGTCACTCAGACCAGCCTGCATGGAGAGGATCAAGGAGGAGCTTGTGATGCAGACGCCTCAGAGCTGTCCCACTTCCCACCTTGGCTTGGCTTTCCCCAGGAGACCTGGAGGTGAGCTCACCAGAAAGCGCGTCAGCAGTGAAGTTACCGCTGCCCCCGGGGGCTGTGGCTCCAGATGGCTCACTGGGGTTCTGCCTGCAGCCGATTCCGTGTGGGGAACCCCATGATGGAGCACACTGCGGCCTCCCCTCTGCTCCTCCCCTCTTCCACATGGGGTCACACGTGGGGGGAGTTAGGCTTACTAGTTTCTTTTGCCCTGAAACCCTTTTCCTGAGGCTCAGGGAGGGATGACATGACAAGGAGGGAAAAGGAGGGTCTCTTCGGGTTTCCAGATGGGCCCCTCCCGTGTGTGAGGCCTCTCAGTAGTGGACCCTTACTTAGGTCAGACTGTCCCTGCTGATGCCACGTGGACCTGGGCGGAGCCTTCGCAAAACCATGGCCAGACTGAATTTGTAAGCCGAATAAGCAATTGAGGTCCAAGTTCTGGGGTGGTTTCTTTCAGGGCTTTTGGATTTCAGGACCCCAGGACTTAAAGCATAAACTTCGTGTTTTAGCAGCTGTTCTGCTGACTTTGTGGTAACATCAGTGAAGTTGGGTCCCCCTAAGAGAGAGTAACAATCCTCACCAGGCAGAGAGGGGCAAGAGTCATGGGTGGCAGGAGAGTCAGCCCCTGTATGCTCCTCAGACACTCTAGGAGCACCACTTTGGGACCCTCACCTGGGCCAAGACCTGGAGAGACAGGCTCTGCAATGTAGAGGTAAGAAACTCCAGAGCAGAGGGAGTTAGGGTTCCCAGCCAAGTATGGGGTGAGAACAATGGAGGGGGAAATGTGTGGGCAGCACGGGAGCCCGTGATGGCCAACTCGCAAAGGACTAGGGCCCCAGGTGGAGGTGCACCATGACTCTGGGGTCCTGAAAGCTCACTAAAACAGCCTTGTTGTCACCTCCATGTGGGGGTGGGGGCTGTACTTGGCCAGATTCCAGTGTCTACCCACCCCACCCCAGTTTCTCCCTGCCCAGGGTTGCCTCCTCCTGCCCAGCATCCACAAACCTCTTAAGGGAGTCCTGGCCCGGTGGCTGAAGGCCCAGACTGTGGAGCCAGAGCAGCCTGTGTTCAAACTCCATCTCTGTTTGCTGATTAGCTGTGTGGCCTTGGACAAATTGTTTGTCCTCTCTGAGCCCCTATTACTTTTTTTTTTTCTTTTTTTGAGTTGGAGTCTCACTCCAGACTGGAGTGCCCAGACTGGAGTGCAGTGGCCACTCCCGGCCACCGCAGCCTCGACCTGCTGGGCTCTGGCAATCCTTCCGCCTCAGCCTTCCGAGTAGCTGGAATTACAGGCGTGCACTACCACACCCGACTGATTTTTTTATTTTCTGTAGAGATGAGGGCTTGCCAAGTTGCCCAGGCGGGTCTCGAACCTGTGGGCTCAGGCAATCCACTCACCTCAGTCTCCCAAAGCGCTGGGATTACAGGCTGAACCACCGAACCCGGCTTACTTTTTTTTTTTTTTTTTTTTGAGTTGGGGGTCTCACTCTGTTGCCCAGGTTGGAGTGTAGTGACATGATCATGACTCACTGCAGCCTCAGCCTGCTAGGCTCAGGCAATTCTCTCACCTCAGCCTCTGAGTAGCTGAGACTATAGGCATGTCCGCCATACTCAGCTAATTATTTTTATTTTTGTAGTTGAGGTCTTGCTATGCTGCCCAGGTTGGTCCTGAACTCCTGGGCTCAAGCAGTTCTCCCACCTCAACCTTCCAAAATGCAAGGATTACAGGCATGAGCCACTGTGCCTGGCCTTGCTTCCTTCTTTGTAAACTGTAAGCACTGGCAAAGGCTCTGGGGCAAGTACTTTCTAAGTGGTCATTGTGATATCCAATGTGGGATGCAGATGGATGTCTGGGGTAGACATACATTTTCTTAAAAAAGCTAATTTTATCAGGTTTTTACTATGTGTTTCATTGGCATCTATTGGGCAGGGGCTAGGGAAACTCGTTGCCTTCCAAGGTGACTCAGCCCTGCCTAGCCAAGGACTGTCCTGAGTCCCACGACTTGTCACATCCCACAGGCATCCATGGAGGGAAAACCTGAGATGGGACCACTGGGGTCTAGCTCCTAGCTCTGCTTATGTGTAAATTCAGGCACTTTTTGCAGTGTAAATATAAACCGAAATTCCCAGGAGCGAGACTACTGTGTACAAAGGAGTACTAAAACACCTGGAATTTATTTATGAATGTGTATTTATTCTTACATGTTTAAACTTCAGTCACCTTCAAAGTACTGTTCACTTGATGCAATGTACCCATCAAGACGCTTTCCACTGTTCAAAACAGTTGTGTTTTGTTTTTTTTAATGAGTCGGAGTCTCACTCTTGCACCCAGGCTGGAGGGCAGTGGTACGCTCACAGCCACCACAGCCTCAACCTCAACTGGACTCAGGTGATCCTTCTGCCTCACCGTTTCAAGTAGCTGGAATTCCAGGCACGTGCCACCACACCCAGCTACTTTTTTGATTTAGTGTAGGGATGAGGTCTTGCCAAGTTGCCCAGGCTGGCCTCGAACCTGCGGGCTCAGGCAATCCTCTCACCTTGGCCTCCCAAAGTGTTGGGATTATAGGGGTGAGCCACTGCACCTGGCCTCAGATTTTTTTCCTTAAAGATGTGAGGGTACAGCTCAGGGTTAGGTATACAAAGGTTCATTATGCATGTACTCTCAAAACAGTTTTAACTTGTCAACTTTGATGCCTTTTAGTGCTTCTGCCTTTTTTTGTTTCACCTCTTCCACATTGTTTCCAAAATGTTTCCTTTGAGGACTTTATTCATCCAGGGCAACAAAAACATCATCTGGGGTAAGATGGGGTGAATGGGCAGGGTGGGGCATGGGGGTCATAACGTTTTGGGTCAAAAACTGCTGAACATTTAGCATGGTGTGGGCAGGTGCACTGTGTCAATCGCCCATCATGAAATCGTCAAATGTATTGAATCTCCAAAAAAAATTCACTGAAGTTGAATGCAGCCTCTCACAGCAACCCTAGCTGGTACGCTGATGCCGATGGGTTCCTACAACACTTACCTAGCGGGGGAAGCCTTACTACTGCCCCCCAAAAGATAATTTCGGATTTGGGTGGGCTCCCTCATAATATGGCTCAGGCAGACTGGAGCCACCTGACCCTGACCCTTGCCCTCTGGCCACCTTCTCAGTGCCTGCAGCTGCCTTCCCACCACCACCACCACCACCACCACCACCACCACCACCTGCACCCCGCTAGGCTGCCGGGAAAGGGCAGGCACCAAATGTACTGTAGGCTCCATGCCTGCCCCATTTTTTCCCTCTGCACCGCTTCTTGGAAGGGTGGCCAGGAAGGGAGCTTGGGGTGTCAGGCGGGGTCTCAGGCGTCTGGGCTTCCCCATCTCACAGGCCTGCGGGCCTGGCCTTGCTAAGATGCCACACAACAACCCCCAGTTTCCAACAGAGACCGATGGGACTCTTAGTTTACAGACGGGGAAACTAAGGCACAGACTCGGGTCAGCAATCCCTTCTCCTTAACATATGTGACGACTTCATTCTATCCTCACAACCATCATGTGAGGCGAGGACTGCTCTCCCTGTTTTACAGACCAGAAGACTGAGGTCTGTAAAACAGGGAGACCAGTCACTTGCCCAGGGTCATACAAAACTGCCACGACGTCAAGATGAAAACCCACGGATGCCAGATTCCAGAGTCCTGCCTTTGGGCCGGACAAGCTGGGGGTGGGGCCGGCCGCCGGGAAAACCCGCTGGGAGGCGAGGGTGGAGGCAGCCATGGAGGCCAGATCACGGCGAGATGCGTTTCATCTCAGTGGGGATCGGCTACCCTCAAAAAAATCAAAATGAAGGAGACGGGCGATAGGAACTGGCATTCCAGGTCTCCTGGGCAAAGGCCTGGAGGTGACACGAGGGTATGTTTGTCGGCCTGGCTTGCTGGAGGAGGACCCGGCTGGGGCTCGGCGTATGAGGAGGCAAGGCTTTGCGCGCCAAGCCAAGCGGATGAACTTTACCC